TAGGTATGTGCCAACAAAACAAAAATTTCAAAATCCATGCATTTCTTGTTGTAAAATATTGGTTAGTCATCGTTTTATTGACCTTGTGGAATATGAACCCTATCCTTTTACTACTACTACTATATTTGGAGGATCCTTAGTCCATTCATAGATTTTCCATTCTCTTTGACTTTACGCATCACCTATTAGCTTAACACGTGTGACACAATACTTTTTAACTAGTATTACCAATAACTTTGTTATATTACAACGGAGTATTAATTAATCAATCATCAATTAACATACTCCATAATCGAGCAAAGATTGGAGGAGTTGATGGGGAACTCAGCTTGTGACTTACTTTGAGGTCACAAGTTCGAATCCCACTAACTATAAAAATGCATGGGAGTAGGGAGATTGCCTTACTTTCCCTTTCTACACTCAAGCGATAACCTGCGGAGTTGGGCTGACTAAACCTGCGAGAGGTGTCGGCTCAGTAGGGATGAAGGATTCTATTGAACCGACCACTCTCATAGGTTGAAGCTTAGAGGTGTCAAAATCACACCCGATCCGATCCGATCCAAAACTGACTCGAAAAATATCCAATTTAGATTTTGACTAGCATAGACACAAAAATTCAGTATGACTCAACTTTAAAAATTAACCTGACCAGACCCCTCTTCATCAAATCTGATCCGAACATGTGAATTGATAATTCTAATTAAACTAGTTCAGCTCTGCAAGTGAGAGCTTGAGACTAAAAGGAAAGGTAAGAAAATCCCCCTATTTTTAAGCATATGTGGTTGATGGGGCTTGAAGTTGACAATGCCAGTAAGTAGATAATAGCAAGTTGTAGTACAAGTGGGGTAGAATACGTTGCTTCCGTGGCTTTAGGGAGTTGAAATGGTGTCCAGGTGTACAACAGTGCAAAGTACTCATTTGACGTCTATATTGACCGGCACCCTTCGGTTCTTGTTTGCGTTACCAATTATTCGGTCAACAATTTATCCTAATAATGCCAAATTATTTCAACTTAACTATTCCTACATGTTTTTTCGGTTGCAAATTTCATCTTTGTACATGCATGAGCAATACGTATAAAGTTCAGTTCAACAATTTATGTACATATTTTCTCTGTTTTCATTATACGGAGTACATGCAATTTTCCTTTATTTTTTTTTGGGTGGTGGTGGGGGTGGGGTGTTTAGGAATAATATACATAAATGACATTTTTATTAAATTTATCTCAATATAAATTAATTTAACATTTACCTTTAACAGGTGTATGTCTATGCTACTAGCTTGGAATTCATTATATGTAGACAGATAACTATAATCAATTCAAATCGCGCTTTGAGAGTATAAAAAGGGTTAGAAAAACCCTAAATTTTAAGTGCCCCGACCCAAGTAAAAATTGAGTCACAAAACATAGCTTGGTCTAGTGGCCAAGTTTGAATCTTACAACCAATAGGTTGTGGGATCAAATCTTACTATTTGGGGGTGAGATTCTCTTACCCTTCCCCCACTTCCATAATGTCTAGCTCGTTAAAGGTTTCGACTCGATATAACCCTTCTATTTACCCAAAAAAAAAAAATGTAAAAATTGAGCCAGTGATTTTTATCTCCGGTCTGAGTTAAACTTTGGTCAATAGTTGTCCTATATAATAATATTAGTTAAAGTATTATATTTTGGACGGGGCAACGACTAATTGATTAGCGAACAATGTGAATAGTGTGACTAAATGCTAAATTTCCTACTTTCTTTTGGGTATCATATAATATACTAGTCCGTAATACGAAGTTTGGTGCATTTAACTATTATCATAAATTTATAATATGATGATGCAAGCCCTCTTTTGTAGTTTTGTCCGAGGGCCCTCTTTGAAATGGCTTCTTTATTAGTACTCAAAATCTCATGCAAATTATGTTTCTTTTATTTTAAATTTAATTGTTTAATTTATACGTCCATGCATATGATGCTTCTTCCTCCATGCATCCTAGCAGCAATTTCATGTTCTGTACATAAAGAATATTTAACCATATTTTATTATGAAAAACAAACATTTGGATACTCATTATCAGTTTCACTGTCTAAATGCTAAAACAAAATTAGAAGAAAACAAAATAATAAATTAAATTTAAAATTAAATCAGACAAAATATAGTATCGTATTTTAAAATCGAAATACAAATTTTCTTAAAAAAATAAAAATAAAAATAAAACAGATTTAATTAAAAATAAATGTTGAAACCCATTGTAACCCACTTATGAGTGTCCCACATTGGAGAAAGATGAGAGATGGTTTCACTTTATAAGGTAGAGGAGTACCTCCTACTATTGCCAATTGGTTTTAGTATGGAAGCTCCAAAACCTTGTTTGTAGACCAAACTCTCCTCCTCCTTATCCGGGTTGTCCAGACCCATTTAATATTGTTTCAAAATTTAACAATAAATATGAAATACTCTGTATTATTTATAAAGAAAATTTGCCTTGATACTCTTTCTAACAATCTTGATAAATAATAGGTTAATATTATCTTGTTAATATTTAAAGATATATCTTGTGTAATTAGGCTTCTCATAATTAGGTTTGTAAAATACTTATTATGAATTACAAAACTTGATCACAAAACTTACATCAATTTTGCTAATATATAAAAAAGTAGATTCATTTAGAAAATCAATTCTCTTTAAGAAAATCAATTCTCTTTAATAAAATCAACATCGATCTTAGCTTTCTATCCAAAATTAAAATTGATTAGAAAAAGTCAAAATATGTCTACTAAAAAAACATTTTAGAGGAACAAGTGGTAAAAGTAATAAATCATTTCAAATTAAAATTAGGTAGATACAAACTAAATTTAGTCTTATTCTAAATCATAGTGCTCTATGTATACAAATATGACATGATCAATCAAATGTTACTGACTTTTAATTGTATAACAAGATGAAAAGTTTTTATTGTTCAAGCTAAATATAAAAGTCGATGGCGATATATAATTGCCTTAATTTCTTTGACATTAAAACTTTAACAATAAAAAATAGAACACTTCTGCTAATTCGATTTTTCATTGGAGTAAGTAGGGTCTAATGCTTAGATTAGTCTAATCTGAATATTATATGAAATAAAATCTAAAGTAGGCTTGAGTGGAAAAATATGATGATGAACTCATGTACTACAAGTATTTATATAATCGAGACTGAAGAAGCCACCTTGTTTGTTGTATACAATTATTTTCCACTATCTTGCATTGATATGAAAATTATAAATAATTACATATAATAATAATAATTTGAGAATTGTTTTTTAAATAATAATTGACATTTTCATTCTTTGATGTGAAATTATGTTAGCGTGTTATATTACCATGATTAATTCCTAAATGACAGCTATCATACAATACAAGTACTTAGGGCTTGTTTTGATTTACCGAAGTGAGCTAAACTCGACTGAATTGATTGGAGCTAAAGTGAACTGTATTGAGCTAAACTGATGACAGAAGGAAATTAGAAACTGAACTGAACTGAAATTAAGCTGAAGAGAACAGACCCTTAGATTTCAAAAACCATAAGGATAGTAGAGAAAGTGTGAAAAGTGGGACATATAAGAGGAGAAAGTAGGAGAGAGCCAGATAATATTGTAACTTTTGAGTGATATTTAAAGTAAATGATGTTATTATCAGACAATTGGTGCTTGTGTAAGAAGTTAATTGTTAATATATAGGAAAATTTGCAAATTGCAGCCATTTAAAGTTTGTATTTTGCAAATTGCAGTCATTTAAATTTTTTTTGCAAATTGCAGCCCAAAAGTTAATATAAATTGTAAATTGCAGCCCGATTCAATTTTTTCATCGGTTTACATGTTGAAAAATTTTTGGTTATGGTTTAAGGGGTCATTTTAATCCTTAGGGACCCGAATTGAGCTCGGAATCAGCAAAAAAAAATAACGTAAGTGTCTCATATTTACAATTTCCCACAAATCGATACATTTTTGTTATGCAAAATGAGATACTTGTGTTATTTTTTTGCTAATTCCGAGCTCAATTCGGACCCCTAAGAACTAACATGGCCCCTAAAACCTTAATCGAAGATTTTTCAACTTGTAAACCGATGAAAAAGTTGAATCGGGCTACAATTTACAATTTATATGAACTTTTGGGCTGCAATTTGCAATTTTATTTTTAAATGGCTGCAATTTGCATAATACGAACTTTAAATGGCTGCAATTTGCAAATTTTCCTAATATATAAGGAAAAGAAATGAAAAAAACTGTAACAAAATTAAAATGTGAAACCGATAAAATTAGAAAAGTGTAACGAAAAATAAATAGCTAACCTTGAATTTTATTATGGCTATTTCTTTAAACAATTGTTATGTTGAGAATGAAGTGATTTTAATATGTATTTTTTTAAGAAAAACCTAAGTGTAAACGAATGGGGTAGAGAGAAAATGTAGTGCAAGAAGCTTGATGAATAATCACCAAATAAATTTAACATGATGATAGAGTATGTGAAAAGTAAAAACATATGTAGTAAAAGAAGTAAAATAAATTTGGTTTTTATTAAATCAATCAAATTGTTGCATTTGTAACCAAATTAAGTAATTAAAAGTTTAGATGATTTTACATAAAATGATGCATATAAATGATATAAAATTACACTATAGATTAAACGCCATAATTATATTAAAAATTGTTAGTGCATTTTTCCTAAATCTCAAAAAGAAATGATTAAAGTGATTTGATCATATCATAACTTTAGCCAAAATAACTCTTTTTTATATATATAATTGGGTGTGGAAAATGAGAGTAATAATCGTCGACATATACACTTTCATTTGTCTCACACAAGATGACAACAAAAAAAGGCATACGTGCACGGAGCTAGGAAGGAGAGAGAGAAAGAGGATTTCCAAGAAGTTGCAAAATCAACTTTGAATGATTATAATTTTGATATTATTAATAACTAATTAATTATAAAATTTGTACACCTTTTTTTTATTAAAAACGCTTGGACCATTCAAAGTTAAACTAATTACATACGTACTTAGCTACTTTATCTTGTACCAAAATATTCACCCTTTCCACTATATATATATACCTCATTTCTCCTCGTGCTCTTACACCAAACAAACAAGTTTCCTAGCTTCGTTCTTTAACTTTCAACTACAAAATTCTATCACTCTTAATACACACAAAAAACTACAAGAAAACTATACTACAAGATCAACAACAACTAACACTAACAATTTGAAAGATGGGAAGAGCTCCATGTTGTGACAAGGTTGGACTTAAGAAGGGTCCTTGGACTCCTGAAGAAGATCAAACCTTGATCTCTTTCATTCAACATCATGGCCATAGCAATTGGCGCGCCCTCCCCAAACAAGCTGGTAAGCTTACATACATCTGAACCTTTTTAAACCCTATCATATATACTCTAGTTCGAGCAGTATATATAATACAAGTAGTCAATATAATACTGAATTTGTATTATCTTGATTTCTAATTACATTTATTTTTATTATTATGCAGGATTATTGCGATGTGGGAAGAGTTGTAGATTGAGATGGATAAATTATTTGAGGCCGGATATTAAAAGGGGAAATTTCTCAAGAGAAGAAGAGGATACCATTATTCAACTTCATGAAATGCTAGGAAATAGGTGAGCTTATGTTTTTTTTTATTAACCATCTTTTTCTAATGAACTCAAATTTAGGATGAGAAATAATTTCAAATAAATCATGTTTTATTTTATGATATAGAAATCTTATGTTATTTTTTTCCAATTATTTTAGGTGGTCCGCTATAGCAGCAAGGCTTCCAGGAAGAACAGATAATGAAATAAAAAATGTGTGGCACACACACTTGAAGAAGAGGCTCAAAGAATACCAACCAACAAAATCACATGCTAAAATGGCTAAAAAATGTCATGATGCCAATAAGAAAAAGGCCCCCGCCACCACCACAACCACCACCACCGACGACTCTTCTAGTGGATACAGCTTCCCGGAAAGCACAAGTGATCATATCGCAAACTCTGGGTCTCCCCAACAATCATCATTAACAAGTGATGACATGTCATCATCAGGGACCGAGATATCAAGTATAGAAGTACCGAGTGACACGAGCTTTATTATAAACGTACAAACTTTTGACAATTCTATTCAACAATCCGCGAATTTGGACTATCTTCCCATCATAGACGAGACATTTTGGGAGCCACAAGACTTGTTACCATCATTAGATGCATCCGAATTTGACAGCATTATGGAGGATAATGATCAAATGGTACAATTTGAGACATTTTTTAGTGAACAAGAACAAAAAAATAATAGTATTAATGTACAAGTATACGATAATAACGCAGGTCTAGTAAATTACGGTGATGCGGAAGATAATATGGATTTTTGGTTAGATGTATTTGTCCAAGCAGGTGGGGCCCCAGAATTGCCAGAATTTTAAGCAACTTTTTTGGTGCATAATCACATGCAAATGAGGGCGGCGTGAAAAGGATGGATAATGGAAATTATTTTACCCCACTAATTAAGAAATTATTATACTGTTGATTTTTTTTTTTGGTTGGTTATTTTATTTTTCTTTTAAAAATAACCATTAGGTTTTTTTTTTTTTTTTGTTTTTTGTTTTTTTGTTTTTTGTATAGTAGTTTAGATTTCCTTTAGGGTTACAAAAGTCAAAAGTGTACGCTTGTTTTTTGACTGTTAGATAAAGAGGTTTGAGAGATTTATAAAGAATTATTTCGGACCAAAAATCTATTCAATGCAAGCATACTTTCTTACTCTATGTACAATTGTGAAATTAGAGGATTTAGCATAAATAATTAAGTTAGACTATATAACTTTGGGTGTATTATTCTGTATTTTTCATGAATATGTGGTTTTTTTATTTTTATTTTTTTTACAAGAAATATGTGGCTATTATAACTTTGATCAAGGATTCTTTTTTTTTTTTTTTTTTTTTTGTTTTACTAAGTTGTTAGAATTCCGAAATTCATTTTATGTATTTAAGTGATTGTTATAAAAATAAAAAATAACTCTAGGGATTAGAACAATAAATGAATAAGACTACACATAGAATCCATAATCTAAACTAAATGACTATCCTTTTAGGCAAAAGCTAATGAGCGCCCCCGGGGTGTTAGATAAGAGAATTAAAGTGCAAATATTAGAGTAAAATTAACAATAATTACACCGAATGACGCATGATTTTGTCATGAATTCCTAACTTAATATCAAATTTAGGAGATTTGGCTCATATAATAAGGGAAGTGAGTGGGAGAGTTTAGACCACAAACTGTTTTAAGAGTGTTTATGTCATAAAGTAATATGTGCATACGTTATATTTTACTCGTACTATTCCTTTATCTACTAATACTAAACAATTCACAACAACAATACTACAAACTAAAAGTTTAGTTAATTTACTACGAATGAATTTATGTAATGTATTAGTGAGTAGTTGTCAATAATATAGGGTGAAAGAATAAATGAATATATCAAAACACGTAAACAAGTAAACAACTTCTCTCTTTAATCAAAATAATAATAATAAAATAAACATGTTAAAAAGTTTGATAGATAAATTTCTTAGCATTGCATATAATGAGTCGTGTAAAATAAAATTTTAAAATTATAACTGTAATGTAAAAGTGCAATTTAAATGTTTTATTTTACGGCCGTATGTAAAAATTTTGATAAACAAAACTCAACAAAAATAAGGTTAATGGACTAATGTCTCTAATCAATTATTAATCGATGGTCTTGTTGTAAGAGGCCTACCTATAATGAGCCCAAACTAAAACACTCATATAGTATCTTCAAGCGTAGAAGTTTGAAGTTATGGAAAGTCAACTTTGACCAACAATTCCATTCAGAACAACGATATTTTTTATTCAAGAAATACTTTGTATATATATTGCTTCTACGTGTAGCAAAACACAAAAGAATAATGTAATTATAAGCTTTAACTTTATAAGTTATAAATCGTCAAATGTTGTACCTTTGGCGGAAAAATATTGATCAAACTAGTCAAACTCAAATTCGAGTAATTTAATTAATGGAGTGTACAATATGTCATATGTGAAAACTTGAAATAAGTCTAGCTAAATTTAAGTATTTATCAATAGACTACTCATATTCATTTTGATAATAGTTGTTGTTGAGATGTACAATAGAAATTGTCAAAAGTTACGTACGTGAATTCGTGAAATAGAAAGATCAGATTACGTAACTCATACTCCCTCTATTTCAGTCTTCACCTTTGGTCATCGATCAATATCTTCTGATTTATTCCGTATTAACAAAAATTGTAGAAGTTAACATTATATAAATTAACTCGAATTCATAATAAGATATGACTCAACAAGTTTTTAAGTACTAAAAAAATTAAAGTAGGTCCGAAGATAAAAATAAAAAGTATACTTCATAGTAAAATATAATAACAAACGGATTTACCATGATGGATTATTGTTTTTATATAGGGCCAATTCAAGATATGTTCTAATTTGGGTCAACCTTTTGCATGCACATGCATTCTCTACTCTCTAGTCTCTTTTGAACGCTCCAACTAGCAGAATTTCACGCAATTAAACACATAATGTAATGAGTAATGACATTATAAATGGATGATAGCAAAAAAATCACTAATATAGCGAGACATATATAGTGCTTAAAATATTGAGTTTTGACGACTATACTATAACGTACTCAGATTAGATATAACCACTTTAGAATTAGAATGTCAAATCACAGAAATTGATGCAGACATTTCTAATCTATAGTTTTCGGATAATTAAGGGTAGGCAAGTTGATAATGAGCAGTTATTATATATGCTGGATTATAATGATCTTTTCAAAGAAGGCTAGCAATCGTACAAGATAATAGTTAATAACAGCTCACACACCGACACACGTAACTTACGTATTTTATGATACTTTGTACTAAGGGCTTATTCCGATTTACTGAAAACAACTAAACTGAATAGAATTGAAATGAATTGTTTATAAGAGAAGGAAATTAGGAACACTGAACTGCAATTAAGCTGAACATACAGAACAGACCCTAAGTATACTACTTGCATAATTTGCCGAGAGCCCGAGAGAGAGATTTGCTTTTTTTCATCTCCAGTCACGTATTACTAGTAACACTTTGATCATTCATGTTAACATATACTTCCTCTGCGTACCTTATTGTTTGCATTATTTGACCCAAAAAGCTCTTATAAAAGGTAAGTTCATGATGCAAATAAAAGGAAATTGAGAGAGTACGTTCTCTGTTTCTTTTTACTTGCAACACACATTTTAGACACACAGTTTTAATAGATGATTAGTGAAGATAAACAAGCGATTTAGCAAAATAATTGTCATTTTCTATGTTATCAGAATAAATGTAATTTTCTTTTATTTTTACGAGTACACAAATTTACGAAGTCTGAAAATTTTCAATTAGAGACAAAAAGATACTTCCTCCGTTTCTTTTTACTTGCAACACAGCCTTGTGGCACGTGTTTTGAGGTCGGGTTTATGTAATGTAAACGGATAAATTATTCATTATAATTTTTACAAATGATACTTAACCCTATTCTAATCTTCGTGTAAAAATTATATTGATAAAATCGCTCGTTTATCCTCACTAATCATCTCCTAAAACTCCGTGCCTAAAAGGTGTGTTGCAAGTAAAAGAAAACGGAGGAAGTATATACGTAACGACTCGTAGTAAGAGAGCAACACCCATCAAAAACAATCATGTCTAAGGCACATATCATCCTCCCTAGATCGATTTGCCACTAGTGGTGTCACAATCTTCAAGTTGCATTATTCAATCGTTGGTCTATCGATGCAAGGTCTATGTAAACGGCGCTCATTGGATGCCTCACAATAATACTAAGACTTCGTAATGTTATTAGTGTTTTATTGAAAAGTCTTTTATTTGATGCAATAATAAGGTCTATGTACCCACAATTACATCAATCCAAAAGACCACGAGCCTAGAAATTTTTGTGAGTTGTATTGGGACCATGCATGCATGTAATTAATTAGCAATTTTGATCTTAATGTTAGTCTACAAGTAGTTTAGATACTCAACTATTAGATATTTTCAAAGTATTTTGCCTAGCAAAAGGTATCAACTTGAGCATCATTTTCCTATTTTAAGGAAGTGATTGGAAAACTAATTGATAGCTCTATATATTTAGATAGATGCATGCTATCTTTGGCCGCCATTTCAATTTCACAATTGAGATCAATGTGTTAATTTTGCCAGCTGTGGAATAACAGAGATGTTGATTGTTTCAAATTGTTGCCCTAATTGAAAACAATAAGCATTTGAAAGAGATAGGTGAATGTAATAATATGGTTGATTTGTGTTATCTAATTTTAGCTGGCATAGAATTAGAATGTACTCTTAAAAGTTACATACAATTGATCTTTAGTCGAAAGGTCTAAATAAAAATTATTTTATCTATTATCTCGGTTTCATAATATGTGCAACAAAGTTCTTAACATGGACTTTTAGGTAAAAAAAATTTTGTGAGTGTTAAATGGATATATATATATATATATATATATATATTATATATATATATATATATATATATATAGGTTAAACCCCGTGCAAATGCACGGTTGTTGGATAATTATGATAATAATATAATTATATAAAAATTAATGAATCGATTCATCAGGTATTAAAGTGCATGAAATGTAATAAAACAATTAAAACATGTGAGAGAAAATATTTATAGTTATAATGTGCAAGTTGATATTTTAGGAAGTTTATTTTAGAATTTATATAAAAAAAAAGTCATAATCTAAATGCAATCTTTATTTTTATATAATAACGATTTTTTTAGAAAGTAATTTTGGCGGGAATTATTTTAATAATATGTTGCCAAGTGTTCCTTCAGATTCGCTTTTAATAGTATGTAATTGATATATATATATATATATATATATTGATGCATCAGATAATTTAAGGAGAGAAATAAAGAGAATGACAACTTGAAAAGGAAAGAAAACATTTGTTGCATATAATGTTTAGCATCCGTTTTAGTAGTTTTGCACATAATATGAAATGGCGAAATATAAGTTAAAGGAAAATTGGCTTAAAATAATACAATATCAACTATCAATGTTGTGTACAAAATAATACGAACTCAAATATTTGCAATTAGCGATACCACCTTTTATACTATATGTACAAAATGATACCTGGAGAAATATTATTTCATCTATATTTATTATTATTTTTTATTATTAATTTTCTATTTTCTTTTCAAAATACATATTAAGTCAACAATTTCCTTTATAATTTGGATTGATGTCCCACCCCTTTGTTAGACCTTTTTTTTTTATTATTATTGAATTGTCAATATGTATTTAAATATTTTTTTTTCTAAATGCATATAGTAATTTCTACTATCACACAGTAGTAAATAGGATATTTCAATGCATTATTATGTTGATATTATTAGTTTTTAAAATTATTTTAAAAATCCAAAATTTTCCCACATTCACCAACCAAAATAATGTGGGGAACTTTTGTATTTTTTACACAAATTTTGAAACTAATTATATCAAAATAATAATGCATTTAGATAGTCTATTTACTATTGTGTGGTAGTAGAAATTACTACAGGTATTTTGAAAAATATTTAAATAAATATTGACAATTAAAAAATAATCCTAACAGGTGAAGCATTATTAATTTGGATTGTACTTTAAAGAAAATTGTTAACATGATATGTATTTTGAAAAGAAAACTAAAAATTAATACAAAAAAATAATTGAGTATTAAATATAATATTCCTTGCGATACTTTTCCGAGAATGCAAAAGGTGATAAAGCTAATTGCAAATAGTTGAGTTCGTATTATTTTGCAAACACCGTT